CAGCGTGTTGAATAATGGCCCGAAGATTGTGACTGGAAGGCCAACACAGACATACGTTGCCTCATCAGGGCTCTCTGGACGCACAGCCTTGAGTACCGATTTAGCCTCTTCAATGGATCTTGAATCAACAACGACCGAGTCGGATACCCAGAATTCGGTTGACCAGCGGTTGGAAGAAAGAGGGCCTCTCTGCAACAGGAAATGCTGGAGGCCAAAGAGGCCTCCGCTGAGACGTTTTGTTTGCTTCTTTTCCTTCGCGCCGAGAAGGATAATCTTCAAGTTTGCTGAATGCGCTATCTCTAGAATACCGATCTGATAGTCATGCGGCTCCAGATTCGTGAGCTGTGCTTGAGGGAAGACATGAGTGACGCCATTCTCGATGGATACGAATTTGCCTTGGCTATCAGCTTTGTTTGGTGGATGACCTTGTGGAATCATGGTGGAAGAGAGTGTGATGTTGATACTCCGACCGCAGAGCTTTGACTGTTCCCATTTCCAAACAAGCTCCTCGGTCTTCGAATATATAAAAGGGGCTTTGGTGACTGGAACTTTCGAGGAGAGATCAGCATGAGGAACATGCTTCCTGCTTTGTTCAACATCTTTACAAATAGTCATTGGAAGTCAAAATACGTACCCGTTCGTACGCCCCCAATGCGACAGAAACGGACGTTCCAGTACTTGTAACATCAAGTGCAGTATCACACAGTTCTTCCCAGCAAGATCTTGTCGTAGTAATCCGCAGATACTGGTCTCTGTCGACGTAAATGTGCAGAATCAGGTATAAAGTTGGCCGTCTTCGGGATAAGATTAGTGTATAAACTGTATGGGAGCACCTTACAGTGAGTGATATTCTGATGGTCTAGGATAAAAAAAGTGCACTTCACGGATGACCAAGCGAGTTTAAGTGGGTTTCCCATCACAACTTGAGTGTGCTCACACAGAACAGGGCGTCCATTGTGCCAAGGTATATGCTGGTGAGAGTAGCAAGCCACGAATGTTGGCCAAACTGTTCTAGGTTACGTTGGCATCACGCCAGGCACTACTTATCGCTCAACGTTGGATACGAGCTGTTTAAATATGATTCTTTCCCACGGCGAGAGACAACACGGTCAAAGGGGGCAGGGATGCAGCTGATGGATACACAGAGACTTTTTGATCTGTGAGTAGCGTATGAAAGAAGGAAGTATGCGACGAAAATGTTCGTAGAAATTCCAATCAACTTATCTGGATTTTTGTACTGGTCATCAAGCGCGTCAATTCATAACTGTGGCTGGAACGTCAAGTTACAAGGCTAGACTACTTCAGTGGGATCCTTCCGACTAAACCTGAGGTTGAATTTGCTAGGATTTATCACACTATTGCGGGTAGAAGTGTTGAGTGGACAGAAACATGTAGATGTTGGGCGCTGCCATACTCTGGCGATATCAGACACGTGCAATGAAAAATAAGACACTTGCTCAGATCGCACTTTGGATATGATGCAGAAAGCCTACTAATTGATGTACGTATTCTCGCCAGCGTATGGAGACAGGGCCAACTATTTGGGGAAAATATTAACATAACGAGCCTCTTGGTAAAAAGCGATGACATTGCTTAGCATGTCAAATAGAGACGGCTTATCGACAAACGGGGGCTATGCGCAGCTCCAATACTAAGTACAAATCGAGTCTCCTCAATAGTACCACTTATATGTGGTTTTTCCTGCTCCCAGGACCGCCATATAACCAAATATTGTACAACCGAACTCTCATTCTGTTGGATAATGCGTTTGCTCAGTATGCTTATTGGTACTTTCTGGCCATTCTGGAGATGTCAGCCCATTAACTCAAAAAATTCTCCTCAAACGACTTACGAAAACAGAAGAGTCATTGCAATGCATGTGGCAATGCCGGCTGTACCGGGAAGACACAGAGGATCTGTGCGAGTAGGCGGATTGCTCTCCGTCAGATACCACGAATGCGCGGTCTTCACTTGTCTCCGAAATGTCATCCTCGGAGTCAGAGACTGACTCTGAAGCACAAGAGTCATTGAGCTCACTGTGAGAGGACATGACTTCGACAAGCTCACTTTCTCCTTTCAAGGTCATCTTAGCCAGGGACACTAGGTGTCAGAAGAATCAACAGGGTATGAACAAAATGATGTGTTTGACTTTTCCAGTCTGGTGCGCTGCCCGCTTATATAGCCAAAATGTCTATTTGATGACTCTATGGTCCTGACCTTCTCTAGGCGGTGTCCCAACGGGCGCAATAATTCTTGGAGGGCGGGTGGAAGCCTCAGAGACGTGCGGGAGTAATTCAGCCCAGCTTATGGTGCAAACCCAGTAGACAGTTGATTCGCTAGATTCCTAGTGAGGAAGACCCGGTGAGAGGCAGACTTGTTGACCAGATTAGGCGTTGAGAATCTTTGTCGATTGACTTCCCTGCGTATCATGTATGCTTCGTTTATAGCCCTGGCCATATCGATGCCAGTGAAACCATCAGCAATCCGATAAACCCATCATCAACAGGGTTGCACTAAACATTTTGCAACGTGTACCGCGTTGACTCAACGATGCCGAAGCAGAGCCCGGAACACCACCGACATTTCAATTTGCGGGCCGCCTAAATTGAGAACTTTGGGTCAACATTGCTGTTTCTTCAATGTGTCACGGAATTCAACTTCAGCACCCAAGGCAAAAGAACGGACGGATTAGTCAGGAGAGCAAGATACATAATGTCTGACGCATTGACTGATTCCTGGGACCCAGCGGTCGCTCTACCATAAAACCCTAACATCCGTCTCGCTTGGTTTGCCTATGATCCTATCTATACCGACGGGTCTCCTCGCCAGTAAAACACCTCTTCAGCGCGATGTTTTCAATTGGGACAGACTCAGACCCGTCATCTGTTCCAGTATCGCGGTCTTCGGTATGTCTTCCCCCGGATGCAGTCAATTGATTCTCACCTAAGAAACGACTTACAGTCTTTCGCTGGCCACTCAAAGATCGTTGCTTTGGAAGCTCGACCGAGAAGCCCCTCGGCCAACCTCACGCGGTTTGCACCCGACCGCCGACATTGGGTGCTCTACGAGACCGCCCAGGAGCACGAATTCTTATCGTGGTGGCTGGAGACCGAATATGGACAACAACTGACCAAAAATGGACAATACAAATTCAGATGGTCGACTGAGTCGCGCTCCTCGGACGTGTGGAGGCACTTTGACCAGGTGGCAGAGCTCAGGTCTGGTCGACCCAAGGTAGTGTGTCGTGTTGTAGTTCAAAGGAAGATTGATTCGTCTATTATTCGGTGGGAAACTTGAGACTATATATACAACGAGAAGAATAAGTTGATTGGAAATCAACTTATTCTTCGTATACATATCTCGGGACTAATTCCGATGGTTCGGCTTGCTTCCTGATCTGCACCAGCCTCATATCACAACAGAAATAATATCATGCAACTGTCAATTAGGTATACCTTGCTCTACTACTGTATGGACCGATTATTCACTTTGAATTTCCACTCAATTGTGTACCGAATAAAGCTTGCGGCAAGCTCGTCATCTGGCCTGTTTGCTTTAGAGCTGGAGCAGATTGGGGTTTTGCGGTCGGGAAGAGACGAAGAGCTCAGGACCGTCCTGGGGCAACGGTCCGGCGAAGGGCTGCATCCAATATCTGAGGGTGGTGTAAATCCGTAAATTCCTGGAGTGGGGGCGTATTGCGAGTCCTGGGGAGATCGGTCCTGAGCTTGGGATTCATCGCCGCAGGGATAGAAATGGTCAATAATCGTCCTCAATTTCCTAGTAAATCGAACTTTAGCACATTTTGGCCATCCATGGTTCAACAGAGGGTGGAACCCAAGAAATCCAGCATTTCGCAGAGAAGACAAGGCCGACAGGGGTATGAGAAGAAGCCCGTACCCCTGTCACGCCCAATCATTTTTTGTTGGTGGTTTTTGTATTGACTCTCTTTCCCCGCTGTCTCCCAGAGGACTAAACCATCTATTCCAGCTGGTTTTGACCCAGTTCAGTGAGAGCTTGGGTCGCGAACGACCGAACGCTTTTCAAGTTCAGAAGATTGAGAGGCAATATAGATACGCTATGCTTTGCAGAGTCAAATTTCATATCATCGTATGCAGCGCGTGCCTTGACTGTGTCCTGACCAACCCCAAATGAAGTTGTAGGGTTGAGTCTGTTGCAGCAATTGCTTGACTGCTTCGAATCCCTGGGCTTGTTAGATGTGACCATGAATGAATTCAGTAGATTTATAAGGCCTGATGAGGTGCCAGTGGCGATCACGTTCTTTACAATTCCTGCCATATTGTGTGGTAATTATATGTGTTACCGTCGTGAAATGTGAAAGAGGAGCTCCCGAGGTCCCCGTTTCCAGTGACGCCATTATGGATATCACCGCTCCACTGTTTTCGAAGTTTCGCTGATCTTCGGTCTTTGGCGATACATACGTGGTGAGTACTTGTACGCTCATAACTAACAGGAATATCCTGTATAGCTAGGGAAATACAATGGATGTACTAGGCGATTGGCGCAACGGAATCAAAAAGGGGAACTACCCAAAATGGTGATCAGCATCGTATTGACCCAAACGGTACCTCTGGGATTCTAGAGGATTCGATACCAGGTATTACATACTTTTGAAACACCACTGTATTTGACCTCCGGTACTTCGGCCTAGGACCCACTTTTTTCATACTGCCTGGCAGAAACCTCGCAATTCAATTCAATTTAATAGCTAGTATGCCAGCCCTAGACCTCGGCAGAGTCCACGCATGGACTGTCCAAAGCCGCCCAAACCTGCCCACTGGGCGGGTTTGGACAGTCCACTAATATCCATGGGCGGACAGGATAGGGGGGTGTCCGCCCACTGTCCAAACCTGCCCGCCCAAACCCGCCCACGCGGGGTATTCGTAACATGCATATAGTTATGCAGTAGCTTAGAGTATCTTAAGGTATTAGGGATACAAGGAATCTCAACTGCATCGAGTGGAAATAGCATCAATTCAATTTTAATAGGTTTCAAACTCCTTAAGCCTCTTAGAAGGTCTACATATCCTCCTTGATGAGCGCTTTCGGCCAATCCCTTCTGGCAATGGAAGAACTAGACCATCATCACTTTCCTCATCAGCGTCGCCTTCCTTGCTAGCTACGCTGGTTTCATCGCTATCACCAGCCTGATTTCCCAAGAAGAGTGCTTGCTGGCTATGAACCTCGGTAGTCAACCGACCTAAACTCGGATTAGACACAGTATCCTGTTCCTCGGTGTCACTAATCCCATCTATATAATCATCTCCACCATCAGCGTCTACCTCTTCATCCTCGGCCTCCTTCTCATTTCTGAATCTATCCTGCTTCACAGTCTCTAAATAACGACCAGTAAGTTCAAACCTAGCCGAGCACAGATACATCATTAGATCCTGAATGCTGGTTGGCTTCAGTGATCCTCGACGATAGTGACAGATATCCCGTGCAGAGTTAAAGAGACGCTCTACACCTGCACCTGTCGCTGGGATAGAAAGAACATCGCGTGCTGCGCTTGCGAGGGCTGGTAGCGACGACTCTTGCTTTCTCCAGAACTCGAGCGGGTCTTCTTTGACTGTACCTAAGGTGTTCTTAAATTAGCCTGCTTCTACTTATTAAAGTAGGATTAACTCACCACTGTCAAGATATCTTTGAATCTCGTCTCCCTGGCTCTTCTTACTCTCCCGGTCTAGCATTGCCGAAAGCCTTGAGCCTGTTACAGGCATCGTAGAGTGAGTTGGGGAACCAGGACGCTTTGACAATCGTACTTAGTAGGGCCGGATATAGTCATAGAAACTATCTCGGTATGTCGCACGCCATTCATACTCATTCTCAGACCATTCATCACCAGAGAAGTAGTTGAGCTTATGCGATGGGGCAAGGATTGTACCAATTGCATAGAGATGACCATGGGCATTTGTTGTCTTTCCATAGTAGACTGCTAGCTTCCGCTTTCCTGCTTCTAGGGCTTGTCGCATCGCTTGCTTCCAGCTCACCTTTTTCCGTCGGAGCTGGTTGAGTGATTTCTCAAAGTGTTCAAATAGTGCATTGTAGATCTGGAAGACATTGTGGATAGTGACGTCTTTGGTTTGGCAAAGAACGGTGGTAAAGTTATAGAAGGGTCGGGTAATGTAGAGAAGGTAATCGATCTGACGCCACTCCTCTCGATCTAAGAAAAACTGATTGTATCCACTCTCAGTGCAGAAGGTCTGATAAGTAGACCGAATACGCTTTGCGCGGCGAAGCAATAGGAATGTTGAGTTCCAGCGAGTCTTTACATCTTGGATCGGAACTAAGGTTGTATCCCCTGATTGAAGCTTCAAAAAAGATTCACGGCGCTGGGGACTAGCGTTGACAAAGACTGCAAATGCCCGAACCTTATAGATATATTAGTAATTTGAGTATGGATCAGACCAAATCAACGTACCTTATTAAGTGTTGAAAGAATATCTTTCTTCCCACTGGTTAGCCCAGGTCGGAATTCTCTCTCTGTATACTCATTGCTTGGCTCAAGCTTCATATGAGTTAGAAGATCTCTGAGGCTTAGTTGAATGACATGTGCAATACACGGAACTCTGACTATTGGTGCACTAGTAGCCTCGGCCAGAGTTTCGATCTCATCATTTAGACTGTCTACCAAGGTTTGGTTGTTCGAGGCATTATCGGATGTAATTGCCAAGATCCGATGAGTGATATCGTAGTCTTTAAGACGGGTAAGAAGAACCGAGCTGAGATTCTCACCAGAATGAGTGCCTTCTAGGGGCTCGAATCCAAGTAGAAACTCTCTATAATTCCAATTGATATCGATAAAATAACCAGTGATTGCCATAAAAGCCTGCGAGAATGGTGATGTCCAGCAATCAAGCGCGATCGAAAGCTTGGCTCTCTCGGGTAGTGAATTAAGGATCGATTGTTGTTTCTCTTGCCCGATCTGGTGTATTTGTCGATGAACTGTTCTAGCGGATGGGAATTGAAGAGGCCTTGGTGATGCTTGGGCTCGCTGGAGAAGCTTCTGGAAAAGAGGGTTTTCAACAATAACATATGGAAGACGAAGACCAGCAACAAAGTCTGTTAGATCCTCCATAAAAGCCTTCTCATTGAATTCTATCGACAAGGACCGCTGGGACGGAGGGTAGAGTTGTCCCTAGTAATATCACATGTTAGTAGCTGAATAGAATTGATACCATCTCCAGTCGAACTTACTTGTAGCTCAAAAAGCTCTTTCAGATTACTAGTCTTACTAGCATGGCTAGCTAGTTTCTGGCATTTAGCCCCTTTTAAATGTCTTGTCATTGGTGTTGTCCCATTTCCTTTCCGACTCGGATGGTCAAGGAGCTGGCCACACTCCTTGCACAAAATGCGTGGATCCCCAGTCCGGGTATGTGCGACTTGATGGAAAGATCTCCACCCATCTGAATGGCGTTTCTTCACATCAAAAAACTGGTGACTCTTCTCATAGAGGTCACTTCGAATCGATGTTGTAAGCCACCACTCAACAAACTCGTCTTTGTTCATTTCTGTATAGAGAACCCAGTCTTTAATGATCTCTGGACAGGAGTGTGGCCGAGTCGATATCTGGTCACTGCCTAAAGAACGTGATATAGGCGCTGTTTGTTGACTGATCAAGATATCTGGTGCTAGGAGAGGGTCAATATTATCTCCATAGAAAGATGAGGAATAATCCTGAGTTTGTTGTGACATTTTCCCGGGTAGATAAGAGAAGAGCTAAGGTTCATAAAGTAGAATCAAGAGTATAGAAACAACTTACAAGTCAATAGTAGGTAGCTAAACAGAGACTAGGAAGTCGCGACCAGGGGTCTGCTTACGCGTAGGATAGCGGTATAGATTAGTATAGATTTTAGGTGATATATCATAAATAGGCAGATCCGACTAGAAAACTCTAAGATCCGATTGGCTACACTATGCATGCTTCTAGGTGGGCGGTTTTGGACTGTCCAAACCCGCCCATCGATCCTTGAAACTTGCTCAAGACCAACGCCCCAGGACTTCAGTAAGTTCCTTTACCCAAAAAAATTTCACCCTTCGGACCCCCTTATTTGAGCTTAAGGCATCAACCTTAAAAGCCATCAGAACATAGTGATTCAAGATGAACAGGATTTCTCCTAATTTTATTATGACACAATACATTCTATATATTTTTGTAGTTAAAATGAGGATATAATCCATGAATCTCTATGAAGCTTAAGGCGTAATTAGCTATATTTTTATATTTATACCAAAAGTGCTTACTTAGAGAAATCCTGGTGTAGACCTTGAGGTAAAATATATATTTTCGAGTTCAATATTACTTGACCAAGATAACGTTTAAGAAAACATAAGCCTGCAATAATAATATTGATCTTATTAATCAATCAGACGGTAACGGTGTAAAGGATTAAAGATACAAAGAAATTTCAAAGAATTTCCTTGAGGAAGATGATAATATCAGAATCTGGTTATGTGACGAACTAGAACGATAGTAAATAACAGTCTTTCATTTTACGGAGTGATTAGATTTATGGAGGATTTTATGCACGAATGGGCAGGTTTGGACAGGTTTGGGACTTAGCGTGTGCGGGCTGGGCTGGACTGGACTTAGCGCAGTTGGACTTTGGACACTAGAGGGGCGTCCATGGACGGGTCATGGACACCCCTAAGGTGTCCATGGACGGACTCTGCCGAGGCCTAGGTGAGACATACTTTCAGGCGAGGCAATCCTCGGCATTATAGGATTATAGTATATTTTCCGAAAGGCTGACCGGAAAACGCTGACCTAGAGCTTTTATTTTGGGCGGTCGAAAGCAACTTTGATGTTGATACTGTTCAGGTCAGAGCCCTCTTTCATGGCTCACACTAGAGATAACCGGTTGACAATTGCAAACAATTGAGTCCTCAGCAGGACATCAACGACAGCAGTAAAGAAATCATCTCGGTGTTCAGAGCCAAATGGCGAAATACAAGAAACCACAAGTCCACGCGGACAACTTTACGGCCTGTGGAACTACATTGTTTCGTAACCGTACACATACTTGACAGAGAGTTGGGTCGTAGGTAGTACTTGAATATCCATGGATATTGAGATCATATAGCTCGAAGGTTCCACGTTGATATCAAGATCAAACCTGGAGGATTATGACTTCTATATTCCCCCCCCCAAAATATTTCTCAAAACATCCCATCAACCCTATCCCCAGTCTCCAAAAGACCCCTCAAGGCTTCTCCTCCCCAATCATCGCAAACCACCTAGCCACATAATCAATCCCCGGTTTCCGATCCCTCGGATTCCGCGGCTCCGGTTCAAGGAAACCGCCATCCGGAAGGGGGATTTTTTTCTTTCGAGCGATATTACTCAATCCAATAGAATACATACGCCACCCATCCCAGATAACCCAACCGAGTCGTCGCCACGGTTTCATGTTCGTCAGCGAGTAGCATGCAGACATGGTCCGCGTGAGATTTATACCACTGAGATAGAGGTGTGCGACGTGCCAGTGATGCGAGGCACGGTGTCTCGGCGCGAGCATCCAGGCGGATGTTAACTCTGTGTCCTCGGGAGGATCTGGCGAAGCCCAGAGGCTGCTATCTTGTGACTGTGTGGGTGGCAGGTCAAATGATGGGAAGAAAGGTATTGATGTTTCTTCCGGAGCGGGCCAGATGGTTTGGGCGGGTTCTTCTGCTTCTGGGTCATTAGGCAGCCAGTTCAGGGTCAGACCCAGATCTGAGAGGACGGCGGATACTGTCCAGAGTCTTTCGGCTGTGCGATAGTCGATTTCGCTCCAGGTGTTGTATGCGTCTAGTTCCCGGATTGAGGATTCGTTCCAGTTCCATCGCTGGGTTGCTGCTTTGCGCAGGTGGGAGTAGTGATGCAGATGCCAGAGAGCCCAGTATGTGCGATACTCTTCTGTCCAGGTGAAGGGTTGGCTGGCATTTTGGATTTGGAGTGGAGGTCCACTTATTGAATCCGCGGGGATATTATCAAGAGTTTTGATGAGACCTTCTCGCATAATAGAGAGACATTTGCACGCAAGCCGCTGGATCTGCGCGCCTATCTTAAGTATATGCCGTGATTCTGTGTACCCTAAAGTTGGCGGATCCTCGCATGTCTGGTGATAGTGCTCAAGATCCGGGCATTGCAGTGAAGAGATACTGAGGTGCCCGATGTTATAGCATAGCTTTTGTATTTCTGGCATACAAGTAATCGGATTTAAGAGGATCAGCTCTTGTATGATGCGGGTAGGCTGGGCCTGGAAGACGGCATTGAGTCGTCGAGATGCCAACAGGCTGTTTTCAATGCCTGCAATATCACCGATATTGGCGAGAATCTGTTGAATGACTTCAGGGGGCAGTTTCTCGAAAGAATCCATGTTGTAACTGAAGAAACTTTGGGCTGGGAAAGGTAGATGAGAAGAGGGGAGCTTGGAGATATTTAAGGGTTGATCTTTAGCGTAATACCCGAGTGGCGTAGGTGCCGCACCCACTTCGAATGTCCACAGTTTTAGTAAATATAGGTGTCCAAACGAGTATCGTCGCAAAAGGGAGTTATAACTAAAAAAGAGCTAAGAAGAAGATTGAAGATTCTTAAGGCCATCTTAAATGTGTTCGTGTCGTAGTGATTTCGAGGACAAATTCGTTTGGTTTGGATTGACCGGCCCCTACATTTTACCAAAATTACGGACCCTCGCTAACGAGGGTCCTCTACCCATTTGTCAAAAACCGCCCACTTGTC